TTTTTTTTTTTCCCCCCCCCCCCCCCCCAGCTTTTTTAGCCCTGTTTGGGGTCTCCTGATGCTGCTGCTCTAGCTCAGCCAGGGGGTTTGCAGACGGAGGTGAGGCACTCCCTCCCCTTCGGTGTTAGTTAGTCCTCCCTTAAGCAAGAGACTCGGACCGCGAAGCTCATCCAACCTGTCTCGTGGTTCTGGAGTCCCAAGCAGAAGAGCTGGCATTTGTTTCTTTCAGCCAAGATTTATGTCCTGCTCTGGGCAAAAGGAGAGGCCTTAGGGATCAGGCTCCAGAAAGGCCTGGGTTGGGTGGGATGGGCTGGATGCCTCATGCCCACATTCGTCAGCCACTCCAGGATTGATTGTGCTGGAATCCGCAGATGCTTCCTCAGCAGCAGAGCGGGCAGTGGGCTCTGGAAGTACACAGTTGCGGGTACTCTGAACAACAGCCCCATGGAAAAAGGCCACTGTTAGAGTCTGAGTGTGATCAGAAAATGAGGTCTGTTTTGACTGAAATGATGCTTCCCCGTGCCGTGAGACTGCAGCACGTGAGGACTGTTTTGCCCATCTCCAGGATGTGCTTTACAGAGAGAGGCTCCAGATCCTGCCCACAGGCTAGACCTGCTTAACGAGCCACTAGCTCCAGGTACCTCTAGCTGTCTTTCACCTGGGTTTAACTACTCCTGTTTCCCAGCTGGTTCCTGGTCCCATCGCAGCACGCCCCTGCACTGCAGCAGAGCAGGGAAACCTGTCAACCTGACTGGGCGAGAGCATCTCCCAAAGCATTTTACTGCTATGGGAAACCAAGAAGGAAAGAAGCCTTTAGCATCACCCTCCCTGGCAGCAGTTGAGCACTTATCCCCTTTCCATTTCAGAAAGCCTCTGTAATCTCTTCCCCCATTCCTCATCCAGACCTTGCCCCAGTAAAGCAAACCATAACGGTTTCCCCTGCGGTTTCCTCACTTGCCACATGTGTGTTCTTGCCCTGCTCCATATAGCTGTGCTCTGGGCAGCGGCCCCCAGGAGAATAGGGCAGTACCTGCTGCCAGGGTAGTTTTTCTCTGTAGTTAAGTTTGCCAGATTATCGTTAGCTTAGCATTTGACTTTTTCCTTTCCATTTAGAGGGTTCCTCCCCCCCCCGCATTTTTTTTTTTTTTTTAAAGACAAGAAAGCAAAACAATTCTCAGTGCTTAGACTGCCGAAGGCTGCCCTGGGTGCACTTTTAGAGGTCCAGGTGATGATCCTATACTTTGGTATTAATGATGGGGTTTTGTAAAGGGGGCTTATGAACGTCCTTCTTTAGAAATCATAGACAATGAGGGTGGGAAGGGACCTCGGGAGGTCACATCTAGTGCAACCCCCTGCTCCAAGCAGGACCAGTCCCAACTACATCATCCCAGTCTAGCAGGGTCTTTGTATAACACTAGTAAGGATGGCAGCAGTGACTGCACTGCCTGTTCCTGTCCTCTGAAATCTTTCTTCAGGCCTTGGGTGAACAATGGGCTTGCAAATAAGATAAGATAGGTAGGTAAACTGGAGGTTTGCAAGATCTGTCAGATCTCAAAGCTCAGTCAAGGGTGGGTTTCCCTGAGCCTGGTGAAAAGTGGTGTTACTGCTCGCTTGCGAACAATTTGATTAAAAAAAAATTCTGGCAACTTTCTTTGAAATGGGATTAGTTTTTTATGTATAGAAAGGGTTTCATAAGAGGTTTTAATGCTTTTTTTCCCTTTTAAAGAGAGAAATTAAATAGTTGTGAGTCCAGATAAATGAATCAGGTAGGCTATCTTCTCTGAAATGTTCTGTCGGAGGCTGAGCTAACGAAAGCACAACTGGAATTTCTTCATCCATTTCCCTCCTTCTCTGGGTTGCGTTTCAGTATTTTGATAGAAGCATTAACTGTTTCTGTTGTCAGCTTGCCGTTCCTCTGCCGTGTTCTACATAAAACTGGCTTCTAGAAACCACTTTCAGGGCATGCAGACATCTCACAGTCGCTCCTGGCTGAACAGGCCGAGTGTTTCAGCTAACGTCCTGACAAACTCCACTCAGTGTTTCTTAAGACCATTTTAAATGGAATTTCTAAATTTGCTTTTCCTTTTGCGCTAACCGATTTTTGTATGAAGTAAGAGTCCTGCTGGCATTTCCCAGCCTTTCTAATGTTTTATATGATGTAAATGTTTACATTTGATAATGCATGTGTATCTTTTTTAATTGCAGTGTTTGGAGAAACTGACAGTGAGAGTATTGGACTTTTATGTCAAAATGCACTTATTTATATTCCCCGCCTTGTACAGTTTGTATTACAATGATATGTAGGCACGTGCACAGTTGTCAAAGTGGTATTTTTTTTTGTATAATACTAATGTCTGTGCTGTTCTGTAGCACAGGTCTCACTGTGAAGTGATGCATTTTCCTGCCCCACGCTCAGAAGTATCTTGTGACCTTGCTCTTTTGTTTTGAATGTTTTCTTTTTCTTTGTGCAGTTCATGTAAGGCCATTTAAATTAATTGCTGCTCCCGTGTTGATCCTTATAGTTGTAAATCCTTATAGCTGATGCTTATAGGCCCACAAAACAAGCAAACACTTAAGCTGGTGACCAAAAGCAAGCGTTGGTTCTGTCTCATCGGCCTATGGGGGCGCAGAAATGTTTTCTGCTCCTGGGGCTTAGTGAATAAAATAATTCTGTCCCAGATAATGATACAGAATAAAATGTCTTTGCTTCCAAAAGACTGTCGCCAGACTTGCTCTCTGTTGTAACCTTATTTCTTCAGGATTGGTTGTTTCCTTTTCCCAAGTCCCTCTTAAGTTTGGTCGCCTGCTTGCTTCCTTGGCCTGCTGTATGAACCACTCAAGAAGTTTAGCACGAAGAAATTGGCATCGCCTTGCTGGATCTCAATAAACCAGTGATGACAGAACTGTTTTGTCAAAGTAGAACTTCTAATTGCAGAGATTGGATTTTTATGGAAAATGCCTTAAAAAAAACAGGACCTGGTCTTCCTGTATTGTACCGAAGGTGGGTCTCATGAATCTATTCAGAAAAAAATCATGTGGCATTAAACTTGTTCCTTGACTTGGAATGAATATTCATTGTCCTCTGTTAAGTGAGTAACTTACCTCCGCAATTGGAGCAGACACTTTCAAGAATCATTTTTTCAATTGATTTTTTGGGGGTATTTTTCCTGCATATTCCCTTAACCAATCTTACCCCCCTGAGGCAGCTATAAGGGCGATGACATGCGAGGTGACTGGTGTCTGGTTCCTCCTGCTCTTGTGATTTCATGCCTAGAAAATGACTGACCGCCCAGCGGGAAATGAAGCCTGCCTTGTACGAGTACTTTTTAAAACGAAGTAGCAGAAAACACGGTGGTTCTCACTCCCGGTCCGACTGGCACAGCTCAGTCTGGTCTCTCGTAGAAGCAGGCGAATGAAGGAGGCTACCGGGTGTGAGGAGGATCCCAAGATGCTTGTGACCTACAGCAGCCGTCCTGGTCATTGGAACTGGTCGTGGGCCGTGAGCAGATGCCGGCATTGGCTTCGCTTCCCAGAGGTGAATGAAGCTCCTTTAACCCGGGGACGTTTCTTGGGTGAGCCAGCTTGAAGGGGATTCCTCGCCTCTTGGCTTCTCGGGTACAATCCTGACGCGCGTCCTGAGGCGGTGCTACCCCCTGGGCCAGCCGGCTCGCAGCCAGAGCTGCCCCCGCGCCACCAAACCGGCAGCATCAAGCAAACGGAGGAGTTGGCGCACCCTAACTCCCACCTCCCCTCTGCTCCTCGCATCCCTTCTGCAGGAACAAGGCTTGCAGCGCTGCGAGGACAGGCCTGCGGGGCCCGGCCCGGCCCGGCTGCCAACGTTGGGCCTCGAGGCCCGAGGGGTCTTGAGCCAGGCGCCGGCTCGGCTTCAACTGGAAGGAAACAGGGCAAAGATGGTTTTTCACTCCGATATAAACATAGGGAGAATGAATGACGTCATGGTGGCCGGGGGAGCACTCGGGTATTTCCGTGCCGACTCGGGAGGTCTCGGTGCCCCGCCCAGTCGGCCCAGGCGCTCGGCTGAGCTCGCGGCCTCGCCCCGCTTCCGAGACGTTCGGCCGCTTCCGCCAGCGCTCGGGCTTTTCCGGCAGCGCTCGGGCGTTTCCGGCCTGGCCAGGCTGGAGCCCGGGTTTGAGCCTGGTGCTGGCGGCGGCGGCGGCGGGCTGATGGGGCTGGCGGAGAGGTAGGTCCCGGGCCCGCGGGGCGTCCAGCTCGGGGCGGGGGGAGCACTGCACCTCGGACCCGTGCACGAGTAGGGTGTGGAGAGGGGGAGGGAGCATTGCACGCTATGCAGCGGGGTTGGGGGGGCGGCGGAACGGGCGTTGCACCCCGTGCATGCGGGATGGGGGGGGCATTGCACCCCGTGCATGGAGGGGAGTATTGCACCC